GGGTGTGGTGGCGCATGCTGGTAATCCTAGCTACTTGGGAGGCTGAGATAGGAGAATTCCTTGAACCCAGGAGGCGGAGGTTGCAGTGAGCCGAGATCACACCATTGCACTTTAGCCTGGGTGACAGAGCAAGACTCCATGTCAAATAAATAAATAAATAAATAAATAGAAGAAGAAGAAGGCCGGGTGCTGTGGCTCACGCCTGTAATCCCAGCACTTTGGGAGGCCAAGGTGGGTGGATCACCTGAGGTCAGGAGTTCAAGACCAGCCTGGTCATCATGGTGAAACCCCACCTTTAAAAAAAAAAAAAAGAAGAAGAAAAGAAAATGCTTTAATGTGGTATCAAAAAAACAAAAACAAGAAACCGAAAAATCCTCATTTTAGCTTTTCCAAGTTTCCAGAAATTATTCTTTCACAGCAAAGAAGAACTCAGCTAGCTTTGGAGATAAGCTACCTGGGTTACTTAGTGTATGATCTGGGACAAGATAGTAACTTACCCTTTCTGGGCATCAGGTTCCTGGTCTATAAAATGGGAATAATAATACTGTGATAGAATTTATTTCTCCCACATGAAAGAATATAGAGCTATAAGACAGGGTTCACTTTTTTAAATTATTCTAATCCCGGTCTAAGAATGGTTGACTAATAGTTTTGGATCTTCTTACTTCTGGGTTTGTTTGACCAGTATGAGATTAGGAGTGAGAATCTGTACAAACTTAAGTCAGACCCCACCTAGACTGGCCAGAATGAGAAGAGAAGCAGGGACTTGAGACAGCAAGCTTTGAGGCCTGGGAGAATAAGATGGGCTAAGAAAATAGAGTCAAGATCTTGAGACATTTGCAGGGGTAGCTGAGCAAAAACACAGTTTAAATGGTCTAGTTGAATATCAGCAGTGGGCTGACGGTTATCAACAGAGTGACAAGTGACATGATTATTAATAAGCAAAATCTAATTTTATATCTCGGTAAATTTGCAAACAGTTTCTTGACTTTTACTGTTCTTTGTGCTTTCCATTATTTTACCTTACCCTCATCTACCTCTGAGATGGGCAGAAGAGGTACTATTTCGTTTGACTGAGAACTTCATACCATCAGGAGCTTCATAAGTTCATTTGCTTCTGTGTCTCTGCACACTGAGGCCCTTCAGAAAATAATTTAAATGGAATTCAGTTTCCACTGTGCAGATGAAGAAACAGTGGTGAAGCCCTTACCTAAGGTGACACAGTAGTAGAACTGTAAGTAGAACCCGAGCCTCCTGTCCTCTAGTAGAAGCTCTCCTATGCTTAGTTGCTGTAGAGGTTTGTACTGCAGGGTCTACCTCGCATGCTCTGGGCAGTGTGCCTCGCATACCCCAGGCATCTGTATGTGGCCAGGAGTAGAATCTAGGTGAGAGCCCAAATAAAGCACCAGGCTGAGTTCAATGTTCCTGCCTTTTGGCCCTGGAGAAATGCTGGAGAGCCAGGCATGGGGTGCCTGCCTGTAGTCACAGCTAATTAGGAGGGTGAGGCAGGAGAATCGCTTGAACCCAGATATTTGAGGTTGCAGTGAGCAATGATCATGCCACTGTACTGCAGTTTTGGGCTACAGAGGCAGATCACATCTCTTTAAAAAATTTTTAGAGATCTTGTCTCTTTAAAAAAAAAAAAGTTTTATTTAAAAAAAGAGAAAGACCAGAGACCCCTATGCCTTTTAAAGTCCTCCCTAATCATCTTGCCAACCCTTTCAGCCATTCACACAGCAATCCTAGTCATAAACTGGGACCACATTTGCCATCACCTGGGATCAGGAAAACTGGCCCGCTGAACCCACTTGGAGGGAAGAAGCTGAGTGTGGGTGTTAGAGAAGGAGAAGTCAGTCAGCCAGTATAGGCCTGAGAAAAAAGAAAAAAAAAAATATTTAAAAAAAGAGAGAGAGAGGAGATGTGGGGACTCTGTGTTTTTCTGGAATCACTGCGCCACACCCTGGTCAGTAGGTACAGGACTGTCAAAGCCCTTCCTCAGAGATGCTGGGTCAGTGAGGAGACCCCCGATGTCTCAGTCATCTCACTCCACTCCGGTTGTAGCGTCTGGGGGAAACTGAGAATGAAAGTGATCTTGAGTAAACTAAATACAGTTTAGCTATTCATGGCTGTTCCTTTGTCATTCCATCCTTAATGGGTTGTTTTTGCATCTAACAAATAGTTCTAGGCTTTCCTTCCCCTCCAGCCTTTTATGAATTTACATACCAGAGACTTCCAAGCCACAGTTCAGAAGTGATTTCTGGAGAAAGGAGCAGTAAAGAATGAGCCTGGGAATCGAGGCAGTGGCCCCCAGGCTGTGGAGCCATTTATGTCTACTCCTCCCTCTGCTGGAGGCTGTTTGTTTGAGTTGGGAGGAAGCCAATCAGATGCACTGGATCAGGGTGTCCTGTCCAAGGAGACAGGGGGCTATTTGTCTTCTCACATGAGAGAGACAGTCGTGGGAGGAGGAGGGAAGCGCTTAAGAACAGGGACGGAGTAGATAGGGAAAAGATAGTCAATCAAATCTCTCGAGACTATAGTCAGCCGGGTGCAGTGGCTCATGTCTGTAATCCCAGCACTTTGGGAGGCCAAGGGGGGAGGGTCACTTGAGTCCAGGGGTTCGAGAGCAGCCTGGAAAAGATAGGGAGACCCTGTCTTTACAAATAATTTTTAAAAGTTAGCCGGGTGTGGTGTTGCACATTGTGCACTAAGCTACTCGAGAGGCTGACGTGGGAGGGATCATTTGCACCTGGGAGGTCGAGGCTGCAGTCTGCTGTGATCACATCACTGCACTCCAGCCTGGGCAACAGAATGAGACCCAGTCTCAAAAAAAGAAAAAATATATATATTCAGGGTGGGCTTCCTCTTATTAGATATGGCCCAAGTGAAAACCTGGAACTTGTCTGAACTGGACAGCTAAGGAGAGAGGCAGAAGAGGATTAGTGGGAAAAGCGGAAACTTCTAGGTTTGACTCAACAACTGTGTGTGATTTGGGGCAAGCCACCTTCCTCTCCGTCTCCTCTGTCTCCTCCTCTAGTAAATGTTCAGCCTGCTGAGGTCTCCTCCAGTTCTGAAAAGGGATAGTTCTTTTTTTTTTTTTTTTTTTTGATCTGTTGCCCAGGCTGGAGTGCAGTGGCACCATCTTAGCTCACTGCAATCTCTGTCTCCCGGGGTTGAAGTGATTCTTCCACCTCAGGCCTCCTAAGGAGCTGGGATTACAGGTGTGCACCACCACGCCTGGCTAATTTTTGTATTTTTAGTAGTGGCAGAGTTTCACCATGCTGGCCAGGCTGGTCTCGAACTTGTGACCTCAGGTGATCCACCCACTTTGGCCTCCCAAAGTGCTGGGATTACAGGCATGACTCATAGTGCCCAGATTCTTTTTTTTTTTTTTTTTTTTTAATTTTTTAATTTACAGAACATGAAATTACTTGTTTTTAATAATGCAAAGTTACTTCCATGGGGCTGCTCAACAGAGAGAAAATAAGGCTAAAATGCAACTTAAAGCTCAAAACATTTCTAAATGGCTGTTTACGGAGGCAGGTGGAGGGAATCCTCCCTCTACATTGATAGAAAACAAAACACAATCAGGCCTCTTCGGCCTTGTTGGAAATGTTCTGTATCTTGATCTGGTGGGTTTTTATGTGTGTACATCATATGTGCACAGATAAAAATTCATTTACCTGTACACATAATTTCCATGCACTTTTTTGTATGTAAATTATGTCTCAATGAGAAAGTTTTAAAAATGGACTTCATTAGGCCAGTCACGGTGGCTTATGCCTGTAATCCCAGCACTTTGAGAGGCCAAGGCAGGCGGATTGCTTGAGCCCAGGAGTTCAAGACTAGCCTGGGAAACTTGGTGAAACCCCATCTCTACAAAAATAAAAAAATTAGATGGGCGTGGTGGCACACACCTGTAGTCCCAGCTACTCAGAAGGCTGAGGTGAGAGGAGGGTGGCTTGGACCCGGGAGGCAGAGGTAGCAGTGAGCCAAGATTGCACCACTGCGCTCCAGCCTGGGTGACAGAGCCAGACTCTGTCTCAAAAATAAAATAAAATAAAATAAAATAACTGGGTGTGGTGGTGCACACCTGTAGTCCTAGCTAATTTTGAGGCGAAGGTGGGAAGATCACTTGAGCCCAGGTGTTTGAGGCTGCAGTGAGCTGTGATTGGGCCACTGCTCTCCTGCTTGGGCAACAGAGGGAGACCCCTGTCTCTTTTTTTTTTTTTTTTTGAGACAGAGTTTCGCTCTTGTTACCCAGGCTGGAGTGCAATGGCACGATCTCGGCTCACCGCAACCTCCGCCTCCTGGGTTCAGGCAATTCTCCTGTCTCAGCCTCCTGAGTAGCTGGGATTACAGGCATGCACCACCATGCCCAGCTAATTTTTTGTATTTTTAGTAGAGACGGGGTTTCACCTTGTTGACCAAGGTTGGTCTCGATCTCTTGACCTTGTGATCCACCCGCCTCGGCCTCCCAAAGTGCTGGGATTACAGGCTTGAGCCACCGCGCCCGGCCCCCTGTCTCTTTAAATGAATTTCCAGCTAGGAAGATTAAGGACCCCCTTCTGAGTGCTTTAAAAAGGTTATCTGTGCTGAGGAAAGAGGTAGAAAATTAGGGAAGCAATAAGATAACCTCTGTTTTGGAGAGATTTCCAAAGTCCTGCTATCCTCAGAAAGTCTCGTGTTTCTCCCCAAGGACAGAAAAATCCTCCTTCCTCTCTAATCTCCATCTCTCCTATTGCAATGCCAGCCACTCCTTCTGCCCTCATGGAGCCCAGCCTTTCCCCTGGCCGCAGACAAAATCTCTTTAGAGCCCTGCAGTTTGAAATATTGAGAGAGATTCCATTTCAACCTTTCCACCATCCGTTGTCTGCCCCTCACCCTATTCTCTCCTCTTGGAGATGTCAATTCCTGTTCTGAGCCCGCCCCCGACCCAGGCCCTTTTCCGGTGGTATGTGCCAGCCGGTCCTGCATCCCACATCCCCAGCTGTTGACATTTCATTGCCATTACCCACAGAATAAAGAAAGGGGCCCTGTTATTCAACAATAGGGGAAAAGACAGAGACAATGGGAAATTGTGCTTCCGATGGGGTGGGGACTGAGAAGGAAAGGATAGACAGACAGACAGGGGTCTGTACAGAAGAGGTCAGGTTTCCTGAAGCAGCTGGAAGTCCTGGATGGTTCCCACCTGAGAGTCCGTTCGCAAAGGCAATGCGCACTCAGGCACCAGAGGGCAGAGGTGAGTACTCTGCTGTGGGGCGAGGGGAGATGGGGGTGCTGCTTGATGAGGTGCATATGGAAAAGGAGGCAGCTGGAGCTTGGCAGTTATGGATCTTTGAGTCACATTTAGAGTTCATGCCCATCCCCATCAGTCCAACACCTTCATATCCAATGATCAATCTACCCCTCTCTGGTCTAAAGGCATCGAGAAACAATGAAGCATCTCACTTTCTGCATGCTTCCAGGTCGTCATGCCCGGGTTGTCCCCTTTATTCCATTCCCCTTCATGGGTTCCCAGCCCTCATCCCAAGCCCAGCATCTTCCCCTGGTTCCAGAATAGTGCTTTTCACAGATATAGTCACAGGGCTGGACACAGGTCACTTAACAGGGTTGAGTGGACTGGTGGGGGTGGGGGGTCGTTCTTAGCACCTTGGCTGCTTCTTTGAGCACGGGACAGAAGCTTTTCCTCAAAGATGCAAAAGGGGCCGGGCGCGGTGGCTCATGCCTATAACCCCAGCACTCTGGGAGACCGAGGCGGGTGGATCACAAGTTCAAGAAATCGAGACCATCCTGGTCAACATGGTGAAACCCCACCTCTACTAATCACACAAAAAATTGGCCGAGCATGGTGGGGTGCGCCTGTAGTCCCAGCTACTCGGGAGGCTGAGGCAGGAGAATTGTTTGAACCCAGGAGGCAGAGGTTGCGGTGAGCCGGGATCGCACCATTGCACTCCAGCCTGGGTAACAAGAGCGAAACTCTGTCTCAAAAGAAAAAAAAAAAAAGGTGCAAAAGCAGAAACTGTGTTGATCAGGTCCTCAAGTCCCAGAATTCTAAGGTGCTTGAAACACCCAGGAGCCTGGCAACAGCTTCTTCCAGAACCCCTTCCTCAAGCAAGGCAAAAAGCTGCTGAGCACCGCTCCCTCCATCTCTGTGAAGAAACCAGGTAGGCAATGGAGCTACTGACTACTCTCTCATTTTCTGTTAGGGGGTATGAAGAGCATGTGCACCTGTTTTGAAATACAGAAATATAGATCAGTGATTAAGTGCTCGAGCCTCACTGTCAGATCTGGATTCAAATCCCAGCAAACCCTTTCTCTTACTAGCTGTGTGACCTCATTTCCTAGAATGTGTGAACCTTTGTTTCAGCAGGTGTACAATGGGATTTATAATTGTTTCTGCCTCAGAGGATTGCTGGGAAGAGTAAATATAAAAATAAACATGTGGCCGAGCGCGGTGGCTCATGCTTGTAATCCCAGTACTTCGGGAGGCTGAGGTGGGCAGATCACCTGAGGTCAGGAGGTCAAGACCAGCCTGGCCAAAATGGTGAAATCCCGTCTCTACTAAAAATGCAAAAATTAGCCAGGCTTGGTGGCAGGGACCTGTAATCCCAGCTCCTTGGGAGGCTGAGGCAGGAAAATGGCTTGAACCTAGGAGGCAGAGGCTGCAGTGAGCCGAGATCGTGCCGTTGTACTCCAGCCTTGGGGACAAGAGTGAGACTCTGGGTGCTTCTTCCCTCTCTCCATTCCCCATCCTGTCTTCCCATGAGTCTTTAATGTAAGTTCATTCATTAAACCACACACACTTACTTAGCACCTACTATATGCCAGAAACTATGCTGGGAACTGGAGATAACAGCTAACACATACAGAGCACTTATTACATTCCAGACACTATTTCAAGCATTTTGCATGTCTCACTTCATTTAATCCTCACAACTACTCAGTGAGGTAGGTGTGCTATTATTCCCCACATTTCACTTATGAGGACCCTGAGGCAGAGAGAGGTTAAGTAACTTATGCAGGATAAGTAACTTATGCATAGTCATGCAATTAGGAAATAGAGGAGCCAGATTTGGAAAATAAATGCAGTGAAGTCAAGAAGTCTTCCGTCAATTTTTTTATTTTCTTGGAGACAGGGTCTTGCTCTGCCCGCCAGGCAGGAATGCAGTGGGAAGATCTTGGCTCACTGCAGCCTCCACCTCCTGGGTTCAAACGATTCTCCTGCCTCAGCCTCCTGAGTAGCTGTGATTACAGGTGCATGCCACCAAGCCCAGCTACATTTTTCATTTTTAGTAGAGATGGGGTTTCACCATGTTGGCCACGCTGGTCTTGAACTCCTGACTTCAAGTCATCCACCCGCCTCGGCCTTCCAAAGTGTTGGGATTACAGGGATGAGCCACTGTGCCCGACCCAGTTCATTTTTTTTTTTAAAGGTCAAGGTGATAAGAATGATACAATAAAGGAGGAGCTGGATGCAGTGACTCAGACCTGTAGTTCCAGCTACTTGGGAGGCTGAGGTGGGAGGACTGCTTGAGCCCAGGAGTTGGAGGCCAACCTGGGCAACATAGTAAGATCCTGTCTCTTAATAAATAAATAAATAAATAAATAAAGAGGAGGGGGCATCAACTACCGTACTGAAATAGATAACTGCATTTAAAGTAGTTTTTTAAAAAAACTTTATAATTTTATATTTTTTAACTTCATAGTTTCTGGAAAACCTCCTTGATATAGTCTATATATGCATATGCATATAATTCAAATTCACACTGTTAAATTTAGGTGCTAGTAAGAGTACTTGTAAGACAAAACGTGCTGGCTGGGTGCGGTGGCTCAGGCTTGTAATCCCAGCATTCCGGGAGGCCAAGGCAGAAGGATTACTTGACCCGGGAGTTAAGACCAGCCTGGGGTGGCCGGGCGCGGTGGCTCAAGCCTGTAATCCCAGCACTTTGGGAGGCCGAGGCGGGTGGATCACAAGGTCGAGATATCGAGACCAACCTGGTCAACATGGTGAAACCCCGTCTCTACTAAAAATACAAAAAATTAGCTGGGCATGGTGGCGCGTGCCTATAATCCCAGCTACTCAGGAGGCTGAGGCAGGAGAATTGCCTGAACCCAGGAGGCGGAGGTTGCGGTGAGCCGAGATCGTGCCATTGCACTCCAGCCTGGGTAACAAGAGCGAAACTCCGTCTCAAAAAAAAAAAAAAAAAAAAAAAGACCAGCCTGGGCAACATGTCGAAACTCCACCTCTACAAAAAATACAAAAGAAAAAAAATTAGTGGGGTGTGGTGGTGTGTGCCAGTAGTCCCAGCTACTCAGGAGGCTGAGGTGGGAGGATGGCTTGAGCCTGGGAGGGGGAGGCTGCAGTGAGCCGTGATCATGCCACTGCACTCCAGTCTGGGTGTCAGAGTGAAATCCTGTCTCAAAAAAAAAAAGTCCCCAGTTCAGCAGATGACAGTGCACTCTACAGTGTAGCAAACTGGGGGTGAGGAAAGGTTTCCTAAAGCAGGTGAGGCCTGTGTAACCAAGACGGGCACAAAGGAAGGGAAGTGAGTGCAAACTTGGACTGTGTGGGAAACTGCCGGAAGTCCAGCATGTCTGGGGCACAGTGCAGAGGCCAACATGGTAAGAGGCGAGGTGGGGCCAGGCTGGAGGTGCACGGAGCAACTAGATTATAGACAGCCTTGGAAGCTGTGGTTGTGAGATTGGATTTTATCCTCGGGGCAATCAGAAGTCACTTTTTTTTTTTTTTTTTTTTTTTTTTTTTTTGAGACGGAGTTTTCGCTCTTGTTACCCAGGCTGGAGTGCAATGGCGCGATCTTGGCTCACCGCAACCTCCGCCTCCTGGGTTCAGGCAATTCTCCTGCCTCAGCCTCCTGAGTAGCTGGGATTACAGGCACACGCCACCATGCCCAGCTAATTTTTTGTATTTTTAGTAGAGACGGGGTTTCACCATGTTGACCAGGATGGTCTCGATCTCTTGACCTCGTGATCCACCCGCCTCGGCCTCCCAAAGTGCTGGGATTACAGGCTTGAGCCACCGCGCCCGGCCAGAAGTCACTTTCAAACAGGAGAATGAAAAGGCCAGGTACAGTGACTCACACCTGCTGTAATCCTAGCACCAGCCTTGCCAACACAGCAGGACCTTGTCTCTACTAAAAACTTAAAAAGAAAAAATCAGCTGGGTGTGGCGGCGCACGTGTGTATTCCCAGCTACTCAGGAGGCTGAGGTGGGAGGATCACCTGGGCCTAGAAGTTAGGGCCTGCAGTGAGCCATGATCATGCCACTGCACTCCAGCCTGGACCACGGAGCGAGACTCGATCTAAAAAAAAAAAAAAGGCAGCAGAGTGACAAGATCATTTTGACTCGGGCTTCAAGATGGAGGATGGGTGCTGGGAGAGGCTAGAGAGGAGCTGGCAGTCCAGATGGCAAGCTTGGGAAGTAGCACTTGTGATGAGGGGGACAGGTAGAGGAGATGCTAAATTAGTACCTGCAGGCTGAGAGGATGTGAGAGAGGAAGAGAGGGCGAGGAAGGGGGTTGCTACTGTCTTCCTCCCCTCATTAGCGTCCTTCTGTCACTAACCCCTTTTCTCTGCCCCAGTGGCTTCCAGCTTGACAGTCCCTTCTAGGAATCTCTGATGGGAGTTCACCCCCAACCCTGCTCTTCCCCACCCTTTTGCCTCAGTCCTGAGAACTTCCCATCCTTCCTGCCCTGCAGACAGTGCCTGGCTAACTCTCCATCATGCCAGGCTGGCTCACCCTCCCCGCGCTCTGCTGTTTTCTACTCCTTTGGGCCTTCACCGTCTTCCATAAAGCCCAAGGAGACCCAGGTAAGACCCCAGCCCAGGCCAGACTCTGAGGAAGGCTTGCGGAGACTGCAAGGGTGGGGAAAGGGGAAAGGGCAGCTGTTACAGGTACCCATGGAGTGAAAGTCATTGCTGAGAAGGCAATGGAGGAGAGGGTTGGGGGGCTCTGGAGAAAGCATTTGGGGAGCAGGGTCTGATGGGCACTTGGGGCAGTGAGGATCAAGGGGTTCCTGCCACTGTGGCCCCCTCTGCTCAGCATCCCACCCCGGCCCCCACTACCTCCTGCCCCCCATCCACGAGGTCATTCACTCTCATCGTGGGGCCACGGCCACGCTGCCCTGCGTCCTGGGCACCTCGCCTCCCAGCTACAAGGTGCGCTGGAGCAAGGTGGAGCCCGGGGAGCTCCGGGAAACGCTGATCCTGGTCACCAACGGACTGCAAGCCCGGGGGTACGGGCCCCTGGGAGGGCGCGCCAGGATGCGGAGGGGGCATCGGCTAGACGCTTCCCTGGTCATCGCGGGCGTGCGCCTGGAGGACGAGGGCCGGTACCGCTGCGAGCTCATCAACGGCATTGAGGACGAGAGCGTGGCGCTGACCCTGAGCCTGGAGGGTGAGGCCCTTCCGCTCCCGCCCCATTCCTCTCTAGCAGGCGGGGCCGCCTCGCCTGGGGTCTCCCAGGGCTCCTTCCCAGTATCTCCCTCGCACCCCCGGGAACCCCAGCTCCCTCGCCCAGGCCGCACCACCCTTCCTCCCCCTCCACCATCGTCTGCTGGCCGCCCCCCCAGCCTCCCCGCCACCCCCTAGGTGTCGTGTTTCCGTACCAACCCAGCCGGGGACGGTACCAGTTCAATTACTACGAGGCGAAGCAGGCGTGCGAGGAGCAGGACGGACGCCTGGCCACCTACTCCCAGCTCTACCAAGGTGAGCGGCCGAACCCAGCACCGCCCAGGCCCCGCCGAGCTGTCGCAGGGGCCCGACAGAGAGCGCCAGGCGAGCTCAGTCTGGCTCCTGCCTGGAACGCCTCTCATCCCCGACCCCCGCCGTCTCCCGCCAGCGTGGACCGAGGGTCTGGACTGGTGTAACGCCGGCTGGCTGCTCGAGGGCTCCGTGCGCTACCCTGTGCTCACCGCGCGCGCTCCGTGCGGCGGCCGAGGCAGGCCCGGGATCCGCAGCTACGGGCCCCGCGACCTGATGCGCGACCGCTACGACGCCTTCTGCTTCACCTCGGTGCTGGCGGGTGAGGGGAGGGGCGAAGACAGGGTCTTGGGGCGGGGTCTGAAAAGTGTGGGGGGCGGGGAGTGGACCTCCACGTGAGATTAGGGCAGGGTCTCCGGGTCCCTCCAAGGCACCGCCCCTCCATCCGCCCGCGCTCCCGCCCAGGTTCCAGACCACCTCTCCAAACCCTTCCGGCACTTCTGCCTCGATCCCCCTGCTGCTGGTACCCAAGCCCGATCCCGCCCCTCGGCGGCCGGCGCCCCAACTCTACCGCCTGGGAGTCAGTCTCCCTGCCCCGCCCCGCCCACCGTGCTCTCGGTCGGTGACCCGCTGTGGTCCCTAGGCCAAGTGTTCTTCGTGCCCGGGCGGCTGACGCTGTCTGAAGCCCACGCTGCGTGCCGGCGACGCGGCGCCGTGGTGGCCAAGGTCGGGCACCTCTACGCAGCCTGGAAGTTCTCGGGGCTAGACCAGTGCGACGGCGGCTGGCTGGCTGACGGCAGCGTGCGCTTCCCCATCACCACGCCGCGGCCGCGCTGCGGGGGGCTCCCGGATCCCGGAGTGCGCAGCTTCGGCTTCCCCAGGCCCCAGCAGGCAGCCTACGGGACCTACTGCTACGCCGAGAATTAGTGTCACCGTGTCCTCTCCAGCGCTCGCGACAAAGCGTGGGAGTCGTAACTGGGTTCGCTCGACACCCCTTTTCGGAGCTCCAGACCGGGAGAAGCCTCTCCAGACCTGCCTTTCCAGCGGGTGCTGCGGGCCCCGGACTCCGGCTGGCCAGGCGACGGGGAGGGGAGGCGGGTGCGCCCTCGGCGGAGAGGTGCGGCGGTGACCCTCGGACCCGCTGAGGTTCGCGAGCCCCCGCAGTGGGCTCAGCCGCCGTTGGGCGGGAGGGGAGGCCGGGGGTATTAACGGCAATAAAATAACCTGGGGACCCTTTGTGTTGGACGGAGCTGTAAGCGCTGAGAGGCGTGGATGTGTGAGTCTGCGTGTGTGCGTGCCTGGGCTGATGACCCGGGACCCTGCGTGGCCACTGAGCGCCTAAGACAGAGAAAGGGACGGGGCTGTTGCCGTTACGGGATGGGTCAGTGGAAGAGCAGGAGTGCGGCCGGAGGGCACCCACAGGCCAAGGGAGAGGGAGAGGTGAAGACCTCGTGGGCGCCTGGCCCGAACCCACGCGGGAGAACCCAGGATGTTGTTGCACCAGGCGCCAGGCGCCACGCGGGGGCGCTGCACACGCACCTAAGATTAGTTCAAACTTGCCAGGGGCGCCCCATGCCCCCAGGCCTACCCTATGTGCCCCAGATAACAAATAGACAAACATATTTCAAAATGTGCAGCAGCCTGCAGACCTTCCTGAAGCGTATGCGGGGACTACTATTAAAGATAGAAAAGTGATACTGTTGTTAGAATTGACAGGAAATTAACCCTGCGGAAGGAGGAGGCAAACACCAAACACCAGGACCACCAAGGCAAAGGGGGAAACGGACAAGTAACATTCTCCACCGTGGCTACGGGAAACATTCTAGCAATTCAAGAGACAAGTTCTAATGTTATTAATTCACTTTCACATATAGATTGGTGTGTATATACATTAGTTTCTAACTATACTAGAAAAAGCCTGAGCTAGATAATAGTAATGAATGGGGCAAAGGGTATGAACACTCTAATGGTGCTTGATATATGTTGCAAAATTGATTTCCAAGGGGGTTCTTGCTATAATTGCTAAAGAGACCAGCCTGGCCAATACAGTGAAACCCCTTCTCTGCAGAGAATGATAGAATCAACACCATCTTCAATAACCATCATGCAGCAAATGAGGTATTTGTGCCATTTCCTAAACCTTGGTTTTCTCATCTTGGTGTGGGATAATCATTTTTGTCTTTTGTGATTACAATCAGTTGAGGCATTGCATGTACTGGGCAGTACATGTCTGGTACACATAATGGGCACTCAAGTGGTACGTATAATAATTAATAATTATTGTGATGATGGTAATATGGCAACAACAGTAATTTTTAAGCTTCTTACCAGGCAGCCTGGAGGACTGGTTGTTGTATGGCACTATATTAGTCAAGATCAGATAGATTATTATCAGAATAATCATCTATCTGATCTTGACTAATATAGTGCCATAAATCCCAAATCTCAGATAACAAATGTAATATGACCTAAACGTTTCAAAATGTGCAGCCTGCAGACCTCCCAGAAGGGTTTGCAGGGACTACTATCAAAGATAGGAAAGTCAGGTGGGCAGAGTGGCTTACACCTATAATTCCATCACTGTGGGAGGCTGAAGTGGGTGGATCATTTGAGGTCAGGAGTTCAAGACCAGCCTGACCAACATGGTGAAACCCCTTCTCTACTTTAAAAATACAAAAATTAGCTGGGCATGTTGACAGGTGCCTGTAATCCCAGCTACTCGGGAGGTTGAGGCAGGAGAATTGCTTGAACCCGGGAGGTGGAGGTTGCAGTGAGCCGAGATCACACCATGCACTCCAGCCTGGACAACAGGGCTAGAGTCAGTCTCTAAATAAATAAATAAGGTTTATTTCTCACTCAGGCTACATGTGCATCGTGGTCAAGAAGGGAGTTCTTATTTTTGTGATTCAGGAACACAGGCGGATAGAGCAGCCACCATCTCGAATACTGTCAATCACCACATCAGAAGGAAGAAATAAAAAGAGCCTTGCAGGGTTTCACAAACGCAATTAACAGCTCCCACCCAGAAGTGACACCTGTCCCTTCAGTTCACAACTCATTTGCCAGAACTAATCACATGGCTCTACCCAACCACAAGGGGGCAAGAAAGAGCAATCCTTCTTTGGCCTAGAAATAGAGAAACTGGAAATTTTTGATAACAGCATCAGTGCCCACCACAAGCACCAAGGAGAGCGGTCTAGACTCTGGGACATATTGGTAGTCACCCATCCATCTACCCCTTTCCAGGGTTTTCTAAGCTATGGCCTATGATGAAGTCAGAGCCCCAGAAAGCTAAGATCCCAGCAGCTCAGCCAGCAGGAGGATGGCTTTTCTTCAGTGTAATGTCTTCAGCCCAAGGGCAAGAGACCATACGAGAAATGGCCATGGGGCAAGCGTGGTGGCTCACGCCTGTGATCCCAGCACTTTGGGAGGCCAAGGCGGGTGGATCACTTGAGCCCGGGAGTTTGGGACCAGCCTAGGCAACACGGCAAAACCTCACCTCTACAAAAAATACAAAAATTAACTGGGCTTGGTGGCACACGCCTGTTGTCCCAGCTACTTGGGAGGCTGAGGTGGGAAGATCGCTTGAGCCAGGGAGGTTGGTCAAGGCTGCAGTAAGCTGAGATCACACCACTGCACTCCAGCCTGGTGACAGAGCGGGACCCTGTGTAAAAAAAAAAAAAAAAGTCAAAAAGGCCAGGAGAGGAGCTTTCCATTTGCTGCAAATCTCCATTTCTTCAACTATAAAACTGCAACATCACTCATTCCTACAACTACTCTGCATGTTGCTATCACCACTCTTTCTTATTATAGAAAACTTCAAACATACACAAAAGTATTGAGAATAGTATGATGAACTACTCCATCACCTGGTTGACCATCATCAAAATTCTGCCCTTCTTTTTTCCTGGGTTCTCTTAGTCATGATGGCTTTTGCTGGAGTATTTGAAAGTAAATCCCAGATAGTCTATCATTTCACCTGTAAGACTCAATATGCGTTTCTAATAATGACTTCTAAAAATAACCGTAATTCCATTATCACACTTCCTCCCAAAAATTAAACTAATTTTTATTTAAATGATTATTTTTCTCTGAATAGCCAAACAATAAAATTTTATAGTTGATTTGCTCAAACTAGAATCCAGCTAAGGTCTACAACATTGCAATTGGTTAATTTGGGGGATGAAGGGGTTAATTGATGCTTTTCTTTTCTTTTCTTTTCTTTTTTTGGAGAATGAGTCTCTCTCTGTCATCAGGCTGGAGTGCAGTGGCATCATCTTGGCTCACCACAGCCTCCACTTCCTGCGTTCAAGTGATTCTCCTGCCTGCCTCAGCCTTCCGAGTAGCTGGAATTATAGGCATCTGCCACCACACCTGGCTAATTTCTGTATTTTTAGTAGAGACAAGGTTTCACAATATTGGCCAGTCGGGTCTTGAACTCCTGACCTTGTGATCCACCCACCTTGGCCTCCCAAAGTGCTGGGATTACAGGCATGAGCCACCATGCCCAGCCTGGTTTTTTTTTTTTTTTTTTTTTTTTTTTTTTTTAAGACAAGGTTTCACTACGTTGCCCAGGCTAGACTTTAATTCCTGCATTCAAGTTATCCTCCTGAGTAATTTCTTTCTGTCTCTGTTAAGCTATAATACTTCTGTCCCCTTCATTTTATCTATGCCATTTTGTTTGTTTAAGAAACTAGGTCATTTTTTTCCTGTCAAGTTTCCCACATTCTGGGTTTGGCTGAGTCTATCCTTGCAAATGTCATTTATCATGTTTCTTTGTCCCCTGTGATTATATTTAGAAGTTTGATTAAATTCAAGCCAGACACAGTGGCGCATGCCTGTAATCCCAGCACTTTGAGAAGCCAAGGTAGGCAGATCACCTGAGGTCAGGAGTTCGAGATCAGCCTGGCCAACTTAGTGAAACCCCATCTCTACTGAAAATTCAAAAATTTAGCCAGGTGTGGTGGTGTGAGTCCTGTAATGCCAGCTACTTGGGGGACTGACGCAGGAAAATCGCTGGAACCCAGGAGGCAGACATTTCAGTAAGCTGAGATTGCACCACTGTACTCTAGCCTGGGCATCTGAGTGAGACTCCATCTCTAAATAAATAAATAAATTCACACTCACTGTTTTCTAGGAACAGTTCATAAGTGATATTGCATACTTTCTCTTTCATCACACCAGGAGGCACCTGGTGACTAGTTGTTCTACTTTCTTTTGTTTGTTTTTTGAGACTGAGTCTTGCTCTGTCACCCAGGCTGGAGTGCAGGGGCACAATCTCAGTTCACTGCAACCTTTGCCTCCCCGGCTCAAGTGATCCTCCTGCTTCAGCCTCCTGAGTAGCTGGGATGACAGGCGTGCGCCACCACACCCAGCTAGTTTTTGTAATTTTTTTTGTAGAAACGAGGTTTCACCATGTTGCCCAGGCTGGTCTCAAGCTCCTGGCCTCAAAAGATCTTCCTGCCGGGCAGGGGGAGGGGAGCACACACACACAAAGGAGATCTTCCTACCTTGGCCTCCCAAAATGTTGGGATTACAGATGTGAGCCACCACGCCCTGCCCTTGATCTACTTTCAATCATGTTGAGATTAATTAGATTCAGGGACTGTCAATCCATTCATTATAAGGTTCTCCATTGTATTAGTTTCTGCTGTAACAAATTACAACAAATTTTTTTTTTTTTTTTTTGAGACGGAGTTTCGCTCTTGTTACCCAGGCTGGAGTGCAATGGCACGATCTCGGCTCACCACAACCTCCGCCTCCTGGGTTCCGGCAATTCTCCTGCCTCAGCCTCCTGAGTAGCTGGGATTACAGGCACGTGCCACCATGCCCAGCTAATTTTTTGTATTTTTAGTAGAGACGGGGTTTCACCATGTTGACCAGGATGGTCTCGATCTCTCGACCTTGTGATCCACCCGCCTCGGCCTCCCAAAGTGCTGGGATTACAGGCTTGAGCCACCGCGCCCGGCCAACAACAAATTTTTTTGTTTAAAACAACAGACATTTATTATCTTACCATAGAGACATTTATTCTCTACCTGCCAGAAGTCCCAAATCAGGTTTTTTTGTTTGTTTGTTTGTTTGTTTTTTGAGATGGAGTTTCACTCGTTACCCAGGCTGGAGTGCAATAGCGCAATCTCGGCTCACCGCAACCTCCGCCTCCTGGGTTCAGGCAATTCTCCTGCCTCAGCCTCCTGAGTAACTGGGATTACAGGCACGCGCCACCATGCCCAGCT